GCATTAACAACTTTATAGGACACTTTTGAAAAAGTGTTCTATAAACTCATTTTTTTATAGGACACTTGTTTTTATAGGATAGTTTTTCAAATAGTGTTCTATAAAGTTGATAATGAGACATTTTCTATTAAAAGTGTCCTAAAAAACTTATTACGACGTCAAAAAACGTCATATAAACTTAATACAACACCTTTCACTTTATTTTTTTGGTCATGTAAACTAAGTCCTATAAAGAGGTCTATTTAGACACTTAAAATTTGAGTGTCCTATAAACCTGATTTTATTGTAGTAAATATAGGGAAAAGGATTTTTCTTAAGCTTTTGTTTTGAGTTGTTGTTGCTGATCATTTTAGGTTTCCGATTCAAATGAGTTTGGGGTTTTCCGTGTGAATTGAGATGATTTAGAACCAGAGGTATTCGATGGCTTGAATTTCAAGTAGTGGTCCATAATTTTCCACTAACTTTAAATTAAAAAAAATAATATATAGTTAGATATTTGTATTATATTATAAAATATTTGATAAAAAATTTTAAAAACAATTTTTTATGATGCATATTGTTTATTGATTCATATTACTTATGTTTGAATTCGTGTAACTAATTGTAGATAAACATAATCAAATAGATGATAAACATCTTATTTTAAATATAAAAAATATAAAATATAATTAGGATAATTATTGAGTTATAACATAATTATTATATTTATAAAAAGTTATATAATTAAACAAAAAATAAATTAATTCGCTATTAGATCTAAATTAAGTTATAATAAAAAGTTGAATTAAATAAATTATATAAAAATGAGCACTTTTAAATAATTAATTTGATATTGATGTCGATATATTTTTTCAAATTTTTATGATATCTTTAAATTTATTTTTATTCAAAAATGTAAACATTATCTTTTTCAAAACCACATAAACCATATTATATCAAAAGAGACAAAAAATAAAACGAAACATTACAATGAAAATGTATCTCGCTGCATTGCATGAGTACCCTTCTAGTATAATTAATATAGATAGGGTTTACTTAGAAATTTAAGTTAGGGGGTTTGTCGTCTTAGGTCGTATTTTGTTCCAATCGTTGTGTATTCATGTAATGTAACGGGATGCAATGTTTTTTATAAACTAAGAATGAAAGGTAATGAATTTTCTCGTATAAAAAAACAAAATTTTGGTTTTTAACAAAATTTAAAAACTATAATTCTGGAGCCTTTTAACAACGTACAAAACTGTCGGAAATCTGTCGGAAATGGTGAATTCTTCCATTGGTGATCCATTAGTGAAAGTGTGTTGGACTGTAACACCTTCAAATCTTGGAAATAACGACTAATTTATTTTTTCTTTTGATAAAATACTGAAGTTAATACAATTCTCTTGATTCATAGTTACATATAAGGATACAATAAAGTCAAAGTCAACGACTTAGAATCTAACTCCGAACAAAACTAGGTTACGACCAGTGTTACAATAACCCTCACCGAAAGTTGCTATTTCCAATGATACGAAAATGTCCAAAAGATTTAGGTCATCCATGAGTCTCTGACTAGTATTCGACTTTGCTCAAGTGTCGCTTGTACTGTCCCATGAGGCCTTGATGGACATGCTGACAAATAAAAAAGCGTAAGGTTTAACGTCTAATGAGTTCAAGCAGTTTTCAACATTTATATAAAACTATAAAACTGAAAGAATGCTATATAACAATTTCCAAAATGAAATGTATTAGATATAAAAGCGAATCTTTCAAAAACCCCACCATTTTCGTAATAAAAACTCGTCAATCAAAGCACTCGTTTAACATGAAATCAAAACCCAATACCCACTCAAATCGTGAATAAGATTTAATATTCAAATACTGAAAATATAGATAAAAACTCTAATATCCAAATTCCAAGACATGGATAAGATCCAAGATAACAAAACCATAAAATATGGATACACTTCATACCCCCAAAATAACACTGAAACCATGTATAATTCATTATCTAAAAATAATTACATACACTCCTCGTATTTGATGAGGTTTAAACCATTAACTTGTTAGAAGGCTCGGCTCTAATGATGGACCAATGACCCTTTGGTAGAAAGCCAAAATTTATATTGCTTATATATCTTTATTTACCTATTACTTTCTTAAATAATTAAAATTTGGGAATTACTCAACATTATCAGAGGTTTATTATTTCAACTTTAATCACCAGAATCGCATTCACACGCAGTATAAATACTTATCATTGCACATTTATTATATTATTTTAAATATTCAATATCACATATATAATCGATTCTAAAAGTTATTGCATATCCAAACAATATTGAATGTTTTTAGGCTGTTTTGTATTCGATAACATTCTAATTTAGGCTTTGTGTTCTTTAGAGCTTGTTTTTAGCTGTTTTCACAAATCCAATAGCATTATATCTTATAAATGTCGGTTTAATCTTCTTTTTTCAGTTCCAAGTTTAATTTCAGTGTAACTGAAACACTGATTTCTAAAGTGCCACATCAATTTTCTAATTATTTTATTTCTGAAACATTGATTTCTAAAATTGTCGGTTTAATCTTCACCAAAAGATTCACGATAACCATACTTCACCGATGGGTTGTTGAATGGAGAAATCAGTGATAGATTGCCGACAGCCCATTAGCGATGGATTGCTGACAACCCATTAACTATTGCCAAGGGCATATTCGTCAAAAAAAAAATATTTCATTTATAGAACGGTTCAAAAATCTGATATTTTCTTTTATAAATGTGCATAATGTATGCATAAAATACACATAAATATATAAAAAATATCAATTTATATTTACCCGTTCGTTCAAATAACTAAGCTAGGAGGGGGGATTTTGCTCATGAACTCGTCAAACAACGCCTGCAATTGAGCATGTTGCATCTACGGTGCTATCTTATGTCTCTGTTAAGGCTATGTTTGACAAACTAGCTGATAACTGATAAACTAACTAGTAGTTAATAAACAAATCATGTTTCACATAAACTAGCCGATAAACATGTAAAATTACCAAAAATGACATATTGAAAGATTAATCAATTATATATTTTCAAAATATAATTGAAAACAAATCTCTAATAATATAATATATTAATTAATACAAACAAGATGGTAAATAAATATCAAAAAATATAATATATTAATTAAAAGAATCTCAATTTTAGGAAAAAAAAACCTATTATTTATAAATTTAAATAACTATTACATATAATATGAATACAAATAATTGTCTTTAATTCTAAAACAACCTATGAATTACGCTTTAAAAGTGAATTGATTTAGTGATTTTCTTCAATTAAGATTGATCTAGTAATAGAGATCCATTCTTATTATTCTCGCTATAACTTTCATTCTTATTGGAACCCGATACTGCTTTTATATATAATAAGATTATAGATATGATTGCTTCAAAAGTAATTCTTTTTGTGAGAATTTATTTAGAGGGTGTTTGGAATTGCTTATTTGAAATAACTTATGATTTTTTACAAAAGTACTTATCAACTTATTATAAGTCAGAAGAGTTTAACTTCTTCAAAAACTCCTTATTATCGGTTTGACACCGGTATAAATTGTTTATCCAAGCACTCAAAAATGTCCATTATCGATGTCAAATCAAAATAAGTCAATAAATTATTTTTATAAACAATCCCAAACACCCCGTTAAAAATCCAAAAACACTTTTGTAGGGTGCCAATTAAAATAAAGAGGGATATCACTTTCAAGAATACAACACAAAATAGAAGAAGCATGTGGTCCATCACTAAGATAGAAGGAGAATAAAGCTTTGCCATTCATCCATATAACCTTTTAAATTGATTTTCTTTTTTTTTGCTAAAAAAAAAAATTTAAAATATTTGCTAAAAATTAATTATAAATTATTTTTTTAACCATTATTAAAAGTTAAAATAATCAAATTTAACAAAACAAATAATGTTATTAATTGAAAATTGATTAATAAATCAATGTAGATTTAATTAATTTTTATCTATAAATTATTTTTTCCACAATGTTTTGTCAAAATTTTGTACTTAAGATTTAAAATTTATTCGATTCACATAAAACGATAGTTTTATATAAATCTTAGTATTATTTAAAACGACAAATTACAAAGAAAAATGAGATCTAATATAACATGTTTTTAAATTTTTATTTTTATACTCTAAATGTAACACATATAGAAATATACATAGAAGTAAAACGTATCTAATTAGCTTTTTATTTTTAATTTATATGCTATATTTTGATTTAAATGCTAAAATATTTGAAAATATTTTATATCTATACTATATTATAAATCATTTGACAAAAACTCTTAAAAACTATTTTTTATGAATGAAATACTGTATATTGATGCATATTACTTAAAATTCAAGATTACAAGTAAATTATGCATAAGTACAACTTATTAAAGATCCATATTTGAATTCGTGTAACAAAATGCGGATAAACACAATCAAATAGAGGATAAACATCTCATTTTAAAATATAAAAATATAAAATATAATTAGTATAATTATCGAGTTATAACAAAATAATTAATTATTATTTTTATAAGAAAATTGTATTATTAAACCAAATATAAATTACTTTATTAATGAACCTAAATTAAATTATAATAAAAAGATGAATTAAAAAATTACACAAAAAATAAGAATTTTCAATAGTTAATTTGATACTAATATCGATATATTTTTGTCAAATTTTTATGATATCTATATTTTATTCAAAAATAAAAACATAATTGCATTTTCAAAATCAAATAAGACCATATTATAAAATCGACTGAGATAAAGAATAAAATCTAATATTAAAATCAAGATGTATCTCGTTGCATTGCACAAATACCCTTCTGGTAAAATAAAAATGCAAATCAAATAAAAATTGTTTGTATATTTATGCAATTTGTATATATAAAAATGTCGAAAATATGAAATTGATTTTTTGCGGGTAAAATCATGATTTGTTTCCTTTATGGGTGTGAGGAATAATAGTATAAGCATGTTGGAGGGCATCAAAAGTAATTTGAGACCTTCCAAACCCTAGCGTTTCTGCAGAGAAAAGGTAGTAGAGCCATGTCGGATGAAGTGGTGGTAAACGGCGCCGGCGGCGATGTAGATGTTGAAATACCAGTAAAGGAAGTAGATTCCGACGGAACTATGCATCAAAGTGTTCAAAAATTGACGCAAAAGCTTGCGATACTTGAGCAAGAAAAGCAACAACTTATCAACGATAAGGAATCGGCGACGGAGAAAATCAAGGAACTTGAGGAGGAGATCCAGGGATTTGAATCCGATAAGAGGGCGTTGAGTTCGATTGCTTCAAGGGCGGCTGAACTGGAGACTGAGGCATCGAGGTTGCAACATGATTTAATTACGGCGATGTCGGATGGACAGGAAGCGAATGCTGAGTTATCTGAATTGAAGCGAGTGGTGGAGGACTTGAAGACGAGTGAATCGGAGAAATCGGAGAAACTTGCTGTTATCGAGAAGGAGAGGAACTTGCTGTTGGAGCGTTTGAATGAAGACGCCGAGAAACTGAAGGAGGAGGAAAATCAAATTCGCGAACTTGAGAAGAAGATTGAGGCTTTTGAGATGAGGGAAAGTAGTCAGAAGAGCGAGAGTTCTAAGGTTGAGGAAGAGGCTAAAGTGAAAATCAGCGAGAAAGATGACCAGATACAGAGTTTGAACAGTATGGTCGACGAGTTCCAATCCGTAATCGTCAAGAGTCGTGCTGATTTGGAGAAGTCGAAAAAGGAGAAAGAAGAGTTAGAGATCGGGAAGAATGATTTGGAAGTTCTGTTGAAGAAATCCGAGAGGAAGGTTAATGAAATGGAACAAAAATTGGATCAATTAAGCGAAGAATTGGAAGCACTCGAGAAGATTAATAGTGTTCTCAAGGAGAAAGCGGTAGAGGATATCAACGGCATGGGAGCTAAGAGAGGTATCGTCATCAATGGTGATGAGAAGACGCTGATGGGGTTGAAGCTAGATTGGCCAGTGGTTGCAGCGACTGCCGGTGCTGCTATTGCTACGGTTGCAGTTGTGTACTTCCGCAATACAAAGTTTTGAGTGGCAATGGAAATGAAACAGGTGAACAGTTCTATGCTAATTGAAATATGCTTGGGTTTTATAGGGTTTTGAGTTTCATTTTTGTGTTGATCAACTTGAACCATTGTATACTGGTTCTCTAAATTACAGTTGTTGGCTTTACTTAAAGGGCATGTTTTATTTGTCCAATAAAAATAGAATCTTTATCTTTTGTATCACTGTAATATTTTTCTTATTTGATATCACAATGGTCAGTTTTGCTATGCTAGTAGTTGACTAGTTGGAGGTTGGGCTTCCATAATATAGATCTTGAGACACTTCTAGAACAATTTGCTGTTTTCCCCTTTTGTTGTTGGCAAATCTTAGGTAAGTAGAGGAGTTTGCCTAAAATATTATATGTATTACACCTTGTTGCTACCATTTACCTGCCCACTAAGGGTTTAGTAGTGGTTTGGGCTTCTAAGAGAAAGGAGCGAAGAGCAGATGCTCGTGATGGATTAGGAATACATGGAACATATGAGATGGTTCGTCAGTAAGACTAGTGATGTCTTGTTTTAGTAAAGGGATGAATTGCATATGGCTTGAAGTACCATAGTGTGCGTGCCACTCGAGGTGATAACATCTTTGTTGACAAAACCAGGCTGCCAATTTAGAACTTTGGCTGCTGAATGTTGGCTGTGTGATAACATCTTTGTTGACAAAACCAGGCTGCCAATTTAGAACTTTGGCTGCTGAATGTTGGCTGTGGAATGAATCGAAAAGATATCAGATAGCAAGGAACACCATGTTAGATGGTTGTCTTATGTGGACATTTTGGTTCCGTGATGCTGAAATGTGACTATATATACCAAAAGGAGGTTATTTACTTTTGTTGCTGTTTGGCTACTATAAGAATTTGTTGAGGAAAGTTCAAATTTGTAGTCAATTGAAGATTAATTGCTTGTAAACAACTTAACCATACATTTGAATATGATTCACACATTAATGAACTACAAACATTTGTGTATAAAAAATGAGGTATATATCTAAGAACACAGATACGTGAAAGCTTGTTATGTGCTGATGAACATGTCTTAAGGTAGTTTTCTTTGTCCCAGAAATAATCCCTGTTCAAATGCACAAAATTGATGTTCATGAGTTACCCCCCCCCCCCCCCTTTTTTTCTAACAGATTGAATAAATGGTCATATTGTTGATATGTATTCGATCATGTACATTAACATCGTCTTGAGTTTTGTTTTAGATTTTAAAGTAGACTTCTTTTTCTGCAACAATGAGAATTATGTTCTTTCCATGTTAATTGACTTTCTAATCATCCTATTTTGACTTTTTTGTTGCAAACAAACCATTATTCTTCGATGATGCAAACATGAATAAAAACACTACATCGTCAAGTGTTATATTATGGGCATTTGGGTCACTATGTGCATCATTTCCGTTATAACACCTGCTACATTTTTCTTCATTAACTAACAGAAAGAAGGATCGATGTAAGTTACTGTTGGAATGTTTATGTTTGAGCTTGTTTTACTTGGTGATATTTTCCTTGTGACATTACAACAAATTATTATTATCATGATTATTATTGAGATTCCTGAACATTGAAGCATGCACATCTTACGTTTTCTACGATACCCTCTTAGGTTACTTCTTATGGCCCTCTTTGAAACTGTCTTCTACCTTAACAGTTATAAGGCTCTACTTTTCTGATGGATGAGATTGGTGATGGTAGTAAGTAGTTAGTAAAGTAAGTTGGTTATGCAAATTAGTTAGAAATACTCAACCACTATCACTCTTTTTGATTATATATGTTTTAGGACTTGTACAATGTAGATCATCTTACCTTTTCATGTAAGCCTTGATATTTGGAAAGCAACTTTAAGGGGCTGTTTAATTGTGGCTTAATTAGGCTTATTGGTCTATCTGGCTTATTCGCACCGCTCACATTCCTTCCCATAGGTGGTCCTCCGTTCGAGTCTCCTCAAGTTCATTGAAGATTTTTTTGGCTGTTATCTTCAAGGCCTCATGGGATTTTAAGGTGTAAGCAAACTAGCGTGGACACATCCCTAGTTGCCAAAAAAGATAAAAACTTTAAGATGGGATTGAATATTTCTATAGGCTCATTTCTGATGCCCCCTATCTCGGGATAATTTGTCTATGCAATGAGAAGTAGATCTAGTCAAAGTCATCGATAGTTTGACCATCTTCGAACAGATTCTCAAACTAGTTACTGAGATGCTTAGAATGTATATATTTCAGTTTGTATTTAATAATTGACCCGAACGGGGTCGGTTTTTGGAAGTGTTATCTTTTTGTCTCTAGGTCATGTATTTGGTTTTAAAGTTACCTTTCTACCTCTTCTTTAGAATTTAGTTGCAGTTTGCACAACCTTTGCATTCATCACATTGAAAGATTAAGAACTTAGGAAGTAAGCTTATTCTGTTACAGATGTCAAAATCTGAAATTATGGTCATGATTGTGATTTGATATAGCGGTTGTCACGATGATATAAAGGTCCAAAAATAACGGTTCATATAATAATTAGAATTATATATAGGGGTGTTTGGAATTGCTTATTTAGAGGGTTTTTTGACTTATTTCAGTTTGTACCGGTGATAAACTATTCTTTAGTGTTTGGATTGGAAAAAAGAAAAACTGCTTATACCGGTGCCAAATCGGTAATAAGCAGTTTTTGATAAGTTAGTCCATTCTGACTTATCAAAATCAACTTTTATCGGTTTACCATTTTAACCCTGTTAATATCTTTTATACCTTATATCTCTTTATAACTCTCTATCGACTCTTCTCCAACATCGCTGTTACCGAGCTTTTTGGTTGTCAATGGCGACATAGAGCTGTTGCTTTCTTTTTTGGGCTTATACGCAGGTCGTTTCCCATCGTCTTCTACAAAAATTCTACCATCTCCTCCTCTACCCTCCATCAATCTCTTCATTCTGAAATCATCACCTGCTACATTTTTTCCTTTTTCCTTCTCATTCTTTTATGTTGTTTCTCAATTTTCATTGCTTTCTTTTTCTCCCAATTTCTTGATTGATTCCCCCTTCAATCTCGCCTCACACCACTGTCTCCAACCCCCTTCCACCTCCATTCCCTTCGCATCGCTTCTCTCCACAACACACACCCACCCCCCACGCCCACATCTAAAACCCTAAATATGGTGGTTATTTGTTTGATTGTGGATTGAAGTTGTTGTGCAAACTCTTTGTTGGGTATATCCAGTGAGTTGTATTGATTGGGTTTTTTTTGTTTTTGTTTGTTTGGATCAGATTTATTATTTTTGTCATAAATTATTAATGGTATTGGTACAAATGTTTGTTAATTAAGTTAGTTTTTTGGTTATAAATTATTGATTTTATTGATATAAGTTTTTGTTAAAAATGTTATTTTAAATGATGAAAAATAAAGTTTTACATGTTAAAAAATCAAATAAGTTAATAAGCAATCTCAAACACTTCCATAAGTCAATAATATAAAACACTGTCTTTTTTGTCATTTTACATACATAAGCAAAATTTGCCAAACACTGAAAAACAACTTATCAGCTTATTACTTTTTGGTACCGCTATAAGCTAATCCAAACATTTTTTACAAAACTCCGGTTTGATACCATATAAGTTAATAAGCACTTATAACCAAAAGCATAAGTTGTTTTAAATAAGCAATCCTAAACACCCCTATATATATATATATATATATATATATATATATATATGTGTGTGTGTGTGTGTGTGTGTGTGTGTGTGTGTGTGTGTGTGTGTGTATTTTGACACTCAAAAAGGCCATCTAGTAATTGAAAATTATACATATTTTATATATATAGAGTTGCGTTCACGTGAGACCAAGGGTTTTTCGTGAGACCCGTAAGACCAATTTATGTTCATTGATCAACTTTATAAGCTAATGATCTAATGGTCTAAAGTTGCACGGTAGCAATTTTGTGATTATTGAGAAGTCTCGTGGCATTTATGAATGTTCAGATTATCAGATTGTAGATCTAATCCAAGTGTTGAGAATTGGTCTTACATGTCTCACGCAAAACCCGGGGTCTCACATGATCCCAAAAGTGTATATATATATATATATATATATATATATATATATATATATA